GCTTTCAGGGACTAAGGTTGACTTTATGGAACCAATAAAGCCCTTTGGAAAAACTGGCCTGATACCTTGCTTATAGGGGTACCGGCAGCTTTCCCACGTGAATAGGGAAGGTCACTTCCCAGCAGGTACAGAAACTTCAGGCTATTTTGGAGACCTCAAGAAGAGAGGAATTCACCCAAAGCTCTAGGTATTGCGGGTGAAGTCTGATGGCAAGTATTTAGCTTGGCCTCTTAACCTTGAAAGGCTATTAGAAGTTCGATCTGAAATTTCTTAGGAAAGGTTCCAGGAAAACAGATTTAAAAAAATAAACAAACAAACAAAAAACCTATATGTCAATCACTATTTTGCTGCACTTAGGTAAATAATTAGGCCAAGTTTATTTCAAACATTTTACAAATTATTTTTTAAGCAATTTAGTCCTAATTTAGCTATCTTTGGAAAGGAGGGTCATTTTAGAGAAATGGTGTGGATTTCTCAAAATGACAACACATTTTGTTTCGCAAAACACACTTTTGTGGATGCTAGATTCTAGTTCTTATTAGCTGTTTACAGAGTGCTTCCTCACCTCTAAAACTGAGCTGGATTCCAAATACTTCTAGTTTCTTCAAATATCTGACCAAGACTCGACACACTAATATTTCCAATTCTCTCCCATTCTTTCAACTTGAAATCATAGAGAAACAAAACTGCTGCTCTTTTTCCTAAAGCCCTGCAAACTGAAGCCAGACAACTTAATAAACTTCAGGGAAAAACTGAACAATGGCCCAAATTTAGGCCATCTTCATGCCTGTTGCCATATAAATCACTCAAATATCACCAGAGACCTATAGAAAATTGAGCACGTTCATTCCAGCGATCCTGATTTGATGGATCTGCCACTGGAAAAATCCAGACTTTGAGATGTTTATGGATAAGAACAGTTCTATCAATCAAAGACCATTAAGAGCTGGATATGATCCTATCAGCTATTGTCCACTGCTGAGAACACCAGAAATCAGACTGCTCGCCCAAGGAAACAGCTGGGCAGATCAGGCTACCAAGTTGGAACCCTGGACAAAGATCCAAAACCCTCTCTAATGGCTTTAGTACCAGACATAGACTTAACTAGAGTATCAAACCACAATAGTCCTTGGAGGACCCAGGAAGAACCAAGGAATGGGGATTTAAACAACATGTTGGCATTAAACCCAGCTGGAAATACAATGAATCCTTACCCCCAGGATGTCTTATGGGAGAAATATTTAACCGTATTTCCCCAAAGTATCTATCATGGGTGAGATGCTACTCTTCGATGGATCCAGAAGTATATTGCACGTCCCAATCTTTAGAGAACTATTTAAAAATGTGACATGTGTGCTAAAAAACAATCCTAAGACTGGGGCCCTACCAGTTCTAAATGGTTTACAACTTAGAGACACCAAGCCTGGAGAAGCCTGGCAGGTAGATCCTACCATGATGCCAAAAACAACAAGTAAATTTATGAGATTTGCTAGTATTTATAGACAACCTTACAGATTTTGGTGAAGCTTTTCCATGCTGTTCACGGAAGGCCTCAGAAATTGTTAAAACACTTTAAGCAAAATCATTCCTAGGTTTTGACTGCCGCTAACAATTTAGAGCGACAATGGAGCTGCATTTGTGGCAAAAGTCACACAAGCAGCATCCAAAGCCGTGGGCATTAATGGAAATTAAACCCTCCTGGAGACCCAAATAAACTGGAAAAACAGAATAAATGAATATCAAAAGGAACCCTGCTTGGACCAGCAAGCCTCTGGTGGACCTGTGACTACTATTTAGAGTTGGTCCAAAGACATCCATGGACAAGTACAATGAGCTACTTGGTTATAACAAATCTACCCTAAGGCTCTAGATAAAATAGTATAAGAACTATTAACCAAGGTACAAAAATCCTGGTAATGTAAAATATTGGCTTTCAACTTAGAACTAAAGATTTCTAAATCAGTGCAAAAAGTTTCCATTCCTTTAATCCTGATCTCTGCCCCATTTTTAGCAGGAAGGAAGCAGAAGGGTCATTATCCCAATTCCCTCAAGAATGAGCAATAATCCGAAGACAATGGGGATTGAGACTGGTAATCAAAGGGTTAACAGGATTGATAAAGCACAGCTACAACTTTCACCCAGACCTTTTTCATATGCCTTTAAATCACCTTGACTCTCCTCCTTCAGGGAGGTGGGTTTGAGGCTCTCGCCCTCCCCTGCTTTGGCCACCTCCAGAATCAACCCAATGTCTCCATGATTGTCTTTGCTATACATTGGGTAGATGGACTCGGGTTTAGTTACAAAAGAAGTTACCCTATACTACTCGCATTGGTTTGGTTTTTTTCTTTGGCACCTAGACTTCGCAGTACATCGATTACTACTTCTCAATCCTTTATTCATTCAATCAACAAATACTTTTATGTACCTGCTATGTGCCAATCCTTGGCATCAGCACTGGCTATCAGGGGTCAACACTGCATGCCCCCTGCTCTCATGCAGCTTACTCAGGTTATCCACAAATGCATAATTACAGATTGAATATGGCTTGGGGAGCATAGGAAAGGGACTTCCTGAAGAAGATAGACTTAAATGGAGAAGGAGGAGGAAAACCAGAAGGGTGTGGCAAACGAACAAGATGAGACCTAGTCATGGGATTTTACCACATGGAGGTTAGTAATGAACTCACATAGATTTTTTTTTTTTTGATGTCTTTAAAGTGGAAGCCAGACGTCTGTTCTAAGTGAGTGAAGTGGCAGAGTGAGTGGCAGAGTAAGTCCTCTAGATAGCAGGAAAAACAAAAACCCCACTTTCAAGAAACTCGGTAGGGAAGAACAGAAGAACAGTAGAGAGAATGGTACCTAGAAGTGGAGGATCAGAGGACAGAAATAAACACCTAGGAGTTTGTCATCTTGGGTGCCTACTCCCATCTCTGCCTATAATGGAAACAGCACATGGACAACATAGTTGCCCAGAGTGAGTGGTGCTTGGACAGGAACCAAAATTATACTTGTACAGGAATATTCACTTGGTGAAGTTTAGTATATGCAAAAAAGCTCTATTCTAGAAAAACCATCCTTTGGACAAGGTAGTAGTTTTATGAAATACCATGTCTCTTTCATTTACAATGGAATTTTACCTGTTTCAATTTAAAATATTTTTAAAACAATTTCTAGATACACAGGACTAGCATAATTAGGCTAAACATTTTGTTTCAAATTTACTGTCTCTTAATATTCAATTATATGAACAAATTTGTGCTAATGAGGTGTACTGGCATTCCACGTTAGTGGATTATATAGACCCCATGGACCCTTCACTGGCTAATTAAATATTTAAAGAGAATATTAAGGTTTTCCAGCCAATAGCAGATTATTTCTGCTCTGGGAGTCAGTGCTGCTACTGCTGCTGAAATGCAGAAGACTGGCATCTTGCAACAGAGTAAAACAAACTAATTATCAAATTATAACATTGTATATATCTATAGTCCCCCTTTAAGCCATATTTACCACTGCAGTTTCAGACACGCCTATTTTCATTGACATCAACAAGTCTCACGTTAAATTATTGCCTAAGAAAGCACATTACCATCTCCATTACAGGGAAAGATTAGTCTGCCTTGTGCCTAAACGGGCACCTCTAATATTTAATAACAACAAAAAAAAGACATGAAGGGGCACCTGGGTGGCTCAGGTCAAGATCTCGGGGTCCTGGGATTGAGCCCCACCCCCTACCCTGCACTCAACAGGGAGTCTGCTGCGCTCTCTTTCTCCTCTCCCTCTGCCCCTCCCTCCCAACTTGTGCATAAGCGTGCCCGCTTTCTCTCTCAAATAAATGCTTTTTAAAAAAAAAATTAAAAAGGAATATGAAACTAAGTAGCTAACACTACACCCAGGGAAGACAGGCATCCTTAAAGCCACAAAGAAAGCCTAATTTCATTCCAAGTGTTAATTCACAGAGGTTGATCCAAGTACCTGGGGTATTTTCTCTGCTACTGTTTCTCTTGACATTCTCTCCTCTGGCTACTATATATTTTTCTACAAAGAAAGTATTTAGGAAACAGCATGTCTAATAAACTCAGAGGGAGCCACTGTTGACCAGATATGGAAATCATATTCTAAAAAAAAAAGCCGGAAGGAAGCCAACCTGCACACGGGATTGTGGTATGTGAGACCCACTGACTAGAAACAGATTTTTTTAAGCTCTTCACGTTCACCAACCTGGACGCTAATCTTTTTCCTTAAGAACTGAGCAGAAGAAAAATGCCAGGGTTGTTTGGGAAGCACCTACTTACGAGGTCTGGAACAAGCTGCTTCAATCACACAGGCAGCTAGAAAATCCTATTTGCAAAACAGCTCCCACTAGCTTCTTTTATGTCCGAAGTAAGACTCAATTTTGGCTAGAAAGCGCGCGCCGTCAGCGGTAAGGAAGGGGGACGGTACCCCCCCCCCCCATCAGAAACCCCGTTTCCGGGCTGAACGGACCGCAGGAGCGCTGGGTCCTCCACGCGCAGGACCGACCTGGGGACAGTGGCGGTCCGGCTCCCGGTCCTAAAGGACAATCTCCTGGGGGCTCCTGGAGGCTCCCGGGGACAGCATCCCGACCAGCTGGTCTGAGGCCGGCAGCCGGGGCTGCGCGGCTGCACGGTGGCCGACGACCCTGCGGCACGAAGGTCAGTAAGGCAGCCGGCTCCCAGGCACGCAGGAGCGCAGGGCGAACTCCGGCACTCTCGCTAGGGTCCCCGGTGTTGGGGCGTCTCCAGGCGGCCCCTGAGTCAGCCCGGGAGAGACTCGGGACGCAGGCAGGGCAGATGGGGGGCAGAGCCCGTTCTCCCCGCTGCTTTTACCCGCCACAGCTGAAGCTGGGCCACTGGCTCTGAGCCCGCGCCTCGGCTCCCGACGGACAGCGGCCACCTCCCCCCCCCCCCCCGCCTGCACCTGTACTTGAGCCGGCCCTCTTTGGGTCGGGTCCTCTCCAGGCATCCATCCCAGCGGCAAGGACCCATGGCTGGGACATCTCGGCGCCCAGCTGGGACGCCCCGGCAGCCTGGCGCGGCGCTTGCCTACATGTTCCTGAGCTGCCCGGTGCTGCAGGGACAGGTACCCTCATCCGGGACCGAATCCCGCCCTGCGCTCTACCGGCCCACCTGGGGCGCACTGACCCGCAGTAGCCCCGACCCCGCCAGCATCCTGATCGCCAACCCTGGACTCCGGGTTCCCGTGGGCCGCTCGCTTTGGCTCGACCCGCTCCGGGACCTGGTAATTCAAGTGCAGCCCGGGGACCGGTGCGAGGTGACGGTGCTGGACGCCCTGCTCTCTCTCTCCCCCCGGCCGCTTCCCCTGCGCCTTCGGACCCCACCAGGTCGGGAACACTCACTTTGGCTACGGCTGCACCTGCGCTACGACGCCCCGACTTACACGCTGGCACTGCCCTTCACGCCGGCTGTGGACCTGACCTTCCCCCAGCCGGAGCTGGTGACGCGCAACAGGCCCTTGGTGGTGGAGAAGCTGCGGGGCTGGAGCCCAGCCATCGACAGGAGCCTGCTGGACTTCGCCTCCCCGGTGAACCGGAGGGGAACCTCTGGGACCCGCAGGTGCCGGCTCACCCTTCTTCCTCCCCAGGGCGCCCACTGCCCAGGTATGGACGTTTGGTGGACGCCACGGGGGCTCCTGTCCCCAGAGGCAAAGGCATGGACTGTGAGGCTTTCGTCAGAGCCGGCGTGCGCTACCAGCATACCGCCACCACCCGGTCGCCCAACTGGGACTATGTGCCCTTGATGGCGGAGCTGCTAGGGCCAGAAGACAGAGGCGCTGGGTCAGTGGAGGTGCTGCCTCGGGAGCACTTCCAGTTGCTGGTGAGCATCCACGACGGAGTAAAGAACACTGTGCCCAGGCCCAGTTTTGGGGCCTGATGACAATGGAGGTCAATCAGTTCTTGCTAACAGCCCTAACGCCTGATGCACTGGCTGCAGAGGACACGGAGTCTGACCCTGATGACCTGGTCTTCAACATTCTCAGTGCCCCCACAACCACACCAGGGAAGCAGGGGTATGTGGTCAGCACCGATGACCCCCTGGGTCTCCCAGTTTCTTTCTTCACCCAGCGGGAACTGCGGGAACTGAAAATTGCCTATCAGCCCCCAACAGAGAACTTGAATTCAGAGCACCTCTTCCAGCTGGAGCTAGAGGTGGTGGACGGAGGCGGTGCCACCTCAGACCCCTTTGCCTTCAGGGTGATAATGAAGCCCATGAACACCCTGGCCCCAGTGGCTAGATATAACCAGGGACTACTGCTATTTGAAGATCAGTTAAAGCCCCTGTCCAGCAGCCACAGCCTTCAGATCAGTGATGATGATAACCTGGAAGAAGTGACAGTAATGGTAGTAAGGGGCTTGAGACACGGGCAGCTGGTGGTACTTGGGGCACCTGGTGGGTGCGAGCATTTCACACCAGTGGACCTGGCAGCAGGGCGAGTGGTATACCAACATGATGGCAGCAACACCTACAGTGACAGTATCATTTTCCGGATGCAGGATGGGCACCACCAGGTGGAATTCCTCTTCCCTGTCACCATCATACCTGTCGATGTTGAACCACCAAAGGTCAAGGCCAACATTGCACTCCCAGTTACAGAAGGACAGGTGGTCCAGATTTCCCCCTTTGCCCTGAGTGCTACTGATATTGACTCTGATGACTCAACTATCCACTTTGTGCTGGAGGACCAGCCTCTAGAAGGAGAAAAGGAAGAAAAAGAGGGGGATCTGACCTCTGGCTCCTCCCACTCAAGTCAGCACCCAGGAGAGATGCTGCTGCAGCAGACTGAACCACCTCTCTATCCTGAAGATGAAGATTGGTATTATGTGGAAAAAGAAGGACTTTATGAGAAGGTGGTGACTGAGTGGCTTCAGCAAGACATAATGGAAGGGAAACTCTTCTACCGCCATCTTGGACCCCATAGCCCTCAACCTGTAATGGCCCAGATGACTTTCCATGTACAGGATGACCATGACCTACCCAATCTATCTAACCAGCACTTATTCACCATTAAAGTTCAACCAGTGGATCTGCAGAGTCCAGAACTATTTCCATAAACTATCCTAGAAATGACTGTGCACCAGTACCAACTCACTCACTTCCAGAAGAAATTCCTCCAATATATTGACCAGGACTCGGATGACCAGAACCTTTGGTACACCCTACTGACACCCCCAACTGATACAGATGACAACCATCAAGTACGGGCTGGAGAAATTGTGCTAACTGACTCACCAGATACGCCCATCACGCAATTCACCCAGGCCCAGGTAAATCTCTACAAAGTTGCCTACCAGCCCCCATGGAAGAAGCTGGGTATTGTACCACGGGTTGTGCTGTTCACATACCAAGTGGAGGATGCTGCAGTAAACACTGTACCTGGCACATTCACATTATTCCTGAAGCCTGTGACAATCAGCCTCCAGAAGTCACCAACAGAGGCTTTACTGTCTTAGAGGGAGAAAGTTTTATCATCAGTAATAATGAATTGGATGTCAAAGACCCGGACATAGATGTTGACCAGATTGCCTTCATATTAGTCTGGGGTCCCCAACATGGACACCTGCATTACTTAAATAAAGATATGATTCCAGGGGAACTTTTCATGCAAGCTGCTATTGTTAATGGGAATGTCTCTTACCAACACAGGAGAGACCAAACCGCCAATGACACCTTCCATCTGAAGATAAGTGACACGGTGCACCACATACCCATCACCGTCCAGATTTCCGTGCATCCCACTGTAGCTGACAAAACTCCCAGGATCTCTATTACAGGTAGTCCAATATTAGATGTTTCCATAGATGTACTAGAGAGCAGAGCCACTGAGATCACCATAGGTGTCATACAAGGCAAAAAGAAAGGCACAGGCGACTTGATGCTATCTTTCATTATGGAGGATAGCCCAAAACTGGGACTCTTCTAGTGAATGGTTTACCTACAGAACAATTCACCCAAGAGGATCTCATCAATGGGGTAGTAGTCTATCTCCACACGGGAGGTGAAGTTGGTTTCCAGAAACAACATGATGCCTTCAGCCTCACCCTCTCCAAAGATTCTTATCAATGGGTGGTGGGAGACAGCATAGTAAAGAGAGTGCAGGTGCAAGTGGTTGTGCTGCCTGTGGACAATGTGGCACCCACAGTCTTGGTGGGGAAGTCCCACATTGTTGATGAAAGCAGGAAGAATCCCTTGACCTTACAACATCAAAGCATTGAAGATGTAGACACATCCCAAGATAAAATCCTATGCACAGTGACTGGTCAGCCAGCCTCTGGCTACCTGGAAAACATTGCACCAGCTCCTGGCTCAAAAGAATCACGGGCTGGTAGCCCCATCAGTGCTTTCTCCATCAGAGATGTCCAAGTGAGGCATATCAATTATGTACAGAGTATTCACAAGGGGTTAGAGCCACAGAAAGATCAATTCACCTTTCATTGTTCTGATGGCATCAACTTCTCCCCAAATGTCTTCTTCCCTATAACCATCTTACCCACCAATGATGAGCAGCCTGAACTTTTTGCTGGTGAGTTTGTGGTATTAGAGGGGATGAGCCTTGTCATAGACACCACAGTGGAGCAGATGCTGACTTGCCACCGAATGAGCTCCACTTTCAGCTCACAGTGCTCCCTCAGCATGGACGAATCCTACAGCAGCTGGCCACAGGCAGCCAGCCTATTCACAGCTTCACCTTACAGGAGATCCAGGAGGCCTCCACAATTGTGTATGAGCATGATGATTCTGAGACCACGGAAGATAGTTTTGGGGTCTGGCTGAGTGATGGCAAACACACCATCCACAGGAAGGTACCCATTATGGTGATCCTGCTGGATGATGAAACCCCTCATCTGACCATCAATGATGGGCTGGAAGTAGAGAATGGACACACCAAGGTAATCACAAATTGGATCCTTAAGGCCACGGACCCTGACTCCGATGAAAAGAGCCTCAGTTTTGTCCTCCGTTCAGAGCCTCAACAAGGGCTTCTACAGAGACTGAGAAAACCCAGAGGGGAGGGGAGGAATAACCTCACCTTAGGGATGAACTTTACCCAGGATGAGATTGACAGAGGCCTCATCTGTTATACCCACACAGGCCAAGAAGGAGTTCTTGACATTATCAAGTTTGATGTGACTGATGGGATTAACCCTTTGATAGGCCACTACTTCTACATCACTATTGGCAGCTTAAACAAGGTCTTCCCTGAGGTGGTTAGCTAAGGGCTTACCCTGACTGAAGGTGGCAGAGTGGCCCTTACCACCAATCTGTTTAGCACCCGTGACATCAACAGCCATAATGAACAGCATCACTTCAGAATCACACGGGCCCCTAGCCTGGGGCACTTGGAGAGCTCTGACCACCCAGGGAAGCCCGTTGCCTCTTTCACTCAGCTTCAGTTGGCTAGCAACAAAATAGTCTATGTCCACACTTCAAATGATGAGATAAAGTTGGACAGCTTTGAGTTTCAAGTGACTGATGGACTCAACACTGTGTTCCAGACCTTCAGGATCTTTATCACAGAGGTAGATGATAAGAAGCCTATCTTGACCATCCATAAACTAATACTGCAGGAAGGGGAAAGCAAACAGATCACTCCCTTCGAGTTGACAGTGGAAGATGAGGATACTCCAGATCATCTTCTCCTCTTTACTATCACCCAGCTCCCCATCCATGGCAGGATCTTGTATAATGGCAGCCATCCTGCGGCCACCTTCACCAAGCAGGACCTGAATGAGAACCTTATTAGCTACTGGCATCCTGGCAGTGAGACAACTGAAGACAGTTTCTCCTTGACTGTGACAGATGGAACTCATGCCGATTTCTATGTTTTCCCAGACCCTGTCCTAGAGACACACAAACCTCAGGTAATGAGGACCCATATAAGTCCTCTAGACAACAGGCTCCCCCAGGTTGCCATTAACAAAGGGGCATCAGCCTTGAAGTGCCTTCACACTGGACACATGAGCTTCCTGATTACCAGCAGGTCCCTGAAGGCAGAGTATCAAGACAGTTTCCATGTGTTCCTGAAGTATAAAGTGACCAGAGGACCAGAGCATGGCTTCATTATCAACACTGGTCTTGGAAACGAGAGCACTCGAGTGTTTACACAAGGTTAGTAACAATGTCCCTGATGCCTCTGTCCCTCTCCTTTAGCAAATCAAATCTCCCAATTCTGTATAAAATTGTCCCAACCTGAGCCCATTGGCAGAATGATTCTGATTCTAATGAAATATGGTGGAATATGAGATTATTCTGATAACCAAAAAAAGGCAACTAGTCCTTTTGCAGCCATTTCATCAGGATATTCATTTAACCCTCAGATATCTAGTAAGGCTGGTAGTTATGCCTTAAAATTTTAGAACACAGGTGGACAGTTTCTGCTTCTGAACTATCATCATAATATATGATTACATTAATTTTGAAATCGGTTTAATTTCTAATTTTAAGAATCACATATCTAGGGATTGTTTTCATAGTTTATCAGCAAGTTTAGATTTCTGAAGATATTTTATATTTAGATTATGGACATAAATATTACACTGCACATTTTATTGTACTATTCAAATGTAATTTATGCATCTAAAAACATAGAACCAAATTTTCCTCAGTGTGTAGAAGGATGTGCTTTAAAGATCTTTTTAAAATATATTTGTCATTACTACTAAAAGTGAACTTGAGGCAGGTTCCTCTGTTTTCCCAGGACATGTGACACCTGCTGTCTTTGGCAGCTCTTTACACTGTCTTAAAACTTTTTCATGTAGCTTTATGCATGAGATATGAAGAGATACATGGAATTTTCTACACATGATACATATATACCTAAATAGAGTTAAAATTTAGAAGAGTGTTTAAAAAATAGTTTAGTTACATTTTCAGAATTACTTCTAAAGCCAATAAAATCATAGGTACTTTTATAAGAATTATATTTATAATTCTTATAATTATAAGAATAATTAAAATGCAAAATTATCTTTAATATACTAATAATTATCTATACTAAACACTCAAATATAGACCAAGTGAAAAATTGTTAAAAATCCAAGAGAATAGGTAATTTTAAAAATCATGATTTTATTCCCATTTTATTTTTTCTTAGAAATGCAGCAGATGGGATCCCTGGGTGGCGCAGCGGTTTGGCGCCTGCCTTTGGCCCGGGGCGCGATCCTGGAGACCCGGGATCGAATCCCACATCGGGCTCCCGGTGCATGGAGCCTGCTTCTCCCTCTGCCTATGTCTCTGCGCCTCTCTCTCTCTCTCTCTCTCTGTGACTATCATAAATAAATAAAAATTAAAAAAAATAAAAAATTAGAAATGCATCAGTTATTTAAATTTATTTTGACAAATAGTTAATGAATAACCATCATCATGCCAAGCTCCATGCTTGTATAGTAAACCTAAACCAGATAGACTCAATTCTCCATAGAGGGCCAGGATGTTGTAAAACATGCTTAACTAGAATGTCTTTCTTGTTGTGTATTATCCTACAGATCATACACATAGCACAGGAACAAAATTTTAAACTAACATTCTAGTTTTGCCAGTGCAACTTTAAGAAAAAATTTTTAAGAAAAAATTAAATTTATGTTCACGTAGTCATTTTTTAAGTTAGATTTGTATTCCTTTAATAATTTTAAAATTCATTTATTGTAGTATTTTCATGCCTTAAACCATTGAAGTTCTTATCATACTCATTTTCTATTGAGTCAACATGATGAGTGATACTTGCTCTTTTATTAGCTGACATGGATGAAAGGAAGATCTGGTATGTGTTGAATGAAGGAAGAAAAGTAACAAAAGATATCTTAGACTTCTCTGTTGAAGACAATGGTAAGTCACTATTGAAACCTTAATAGAGAGTCTTGGTTATTTAGAATCAATATAAAATTGAAAAAAAATTAAATTATTTACATAGTAATCACAGTCAGTATATGCCATAATGAGTAATGTTTCATAGAAACAAATGAATTCTTTTTGCTTTATTTGTAATCCTATGCCAAATGATCCTTGAAAAATTTCTGTTTTGAAAGGGAAAGCAAGAAGAAATGTCAATAATGAAATATGAAGTATTTTACCTATGAAATATTTATGTGCGACAATCCTATAGTCAAGTAAATCTCTTCAGGTGGTTCTGAGGATCTGACTGATGGTTACTGTCATTCTGGAACAAATTAGAAAGTCCACCTTTGGATTCTGTGAGGATTTTTAGCTCCAAAACTGAATCTTAGTGACTCCTTGATCTCTGAATTGTAATCTTCCTAGATGGGGTGAAAAAAATCTATTGACCAGCATGGAAGAAAACTTGCTTTAAAAATTGCCTGTATATGCTATACCTGTATCCATTTAGTCTGTCTTCATAGTAGCATAATGAGAAGCAAAGAGCTAACAGAAGGCACTCTAGGAATGGGCTGATTATGTTGTCAAAGAAAAATTATTTTACAATATGACATAATAATTGCAAAAATTATGTCAATGTGTGGCTTGCCACTCAATAACCTCTTTCAGTGTAAATCATAACTCATTCCCAGTAAGTAACATGCATTTTATTCCTTAATCATGGCAATCATTCAGGACTGTTTTGAAAAGCAGTCCTATATGAAGGCCACATAGTATTCTGAGTTTGAACCCCAGCTTACCCCATGTGACCTTGAAAAAGTTACCTGTTCTCCCTGTGATTCATTTCATTCTCATATAAAGTAGTGGGCTTCATACCACTTCCAAAGGGCTGCCAAGAGGTTTAAGTGAGTTAATATATGTAAAGCATTTGGCACAAAGTAGATGCTCATTAAAAATGAGTTACCTTCTTTGCTTCTGATGAGACTAACTGTAGTGGAAGCCACTGCCCCCTCTTCTCCATCTTCTCACTTAAAGTTTAAAATCTGATCTTTCCTTCATTCCCCAAGTTCCCAAGGACCAAAATCATTAAAAAGATGAAGATGAATTTAAGCCTTATAAACTAAGTAAAGCACATATGAGATTCAAATACTTTATAGTGATTATTTTTCTGCCCATTTTCTAGAAGGATGATATCTAAAAAGTCGTATACCTAACTTGGACGCTATACTTTCTGGGTGACATCAGAAACAAGTCTGTGATGATAAATGTGAATTTCATATGGCTACCATTCTTGGGTACTTTCTATGGACCAGGCAATGCGTATATACATTTTGGCTTTTGATCCTTACTAAAACGAGAGGTAAACGTTAGGATGCCCATTTTAAAATAAAGGCACCAAACTTGACTATAATTGGACTGAAGTCATACAGGTGAACTGGGATCAAGCCCAGGTATTGAGATTCCAAAGCCAAGGTTCTTAACCACCATTGCTAAACTACTCTGTCCAGGAAGCTAAAACCATGGACAGAAGTCTAGGAATAAGACAAAGACGGCACTTCCTCACCTCACAAAGAAGCCTCTAGTAAATTAAAGTGATGGTAATATCCAAATATAGACTCCAAAATATTTGAAGACACATTGCTCAAAGTTGGATCTTAAAACACATATGTATATGCATATGCTGATTAAATATTTATGCATTTATCTGTTCACTGGATTTCTTTTATTGTTTTCTGAGTGCCATGCCCATTTTGAGCATTCTTAGAATAGCCTACAACTGCTTAAGAACTCAAACGTTTTCATGTCAGGTATTTTCAAATGTTGTTAATTTATTTCTCTACAAGATCCAATTTGATCTTTTCTTTTAAAATATCCCAATTTTTGCACTTTCTAATTTCTAGAAACTGTCCCGTTCCTCCATATTCAAAGCCAAAAGTTCCAGTCTTTTCTCATGTTGCTTCACTCTGGCACCAATTCTCCTGTCTCCCTCTTTCACTGTAAGAATCCCTGTGATTTCATTGGGCTCACCTGGATAATCCAGGATCCTCTCCCCACTTCAGGATCTTTAATCACATCTGCAGAGTCCCTTTTGCCATATGATATAACATACGCACAGGTTCTGGGAATTAAGATGTGACAGTCTTTAGGGGGCTATCACTCTAAGTACCATGAGTACTAAAGAAATGACACACATGAGGCACAAAGCAAGCACACAGTAGGTGTTACTATCTTAAGAATTATTAGCTGAGCTTCCAAATGCTGTATTTCTCTTCTTTTAGGTAAAAAGAAGTTTAACAATTTATTCCTGAAAATCTATAGTTAGATCAGTTGATTATATAAATAGTTTAACTTTTAGGGCACCTGATTATATAAATAGTTTAACTTTTAGGGCTTAGCGGTTGAATGTCTGCCTTTGGCTCAGGGTGTGATCCTGGGGTCCTGGGATGGAGTCCTGCTTCAGGATCCCCACAGGGAGCCTGCTTCTTCCTCTGTCTGTGTCTCTGCCTCTCTCTGTGGCTCTCATGAATAAATAAATAAAAATCTTAAGGGAAAAAGTTCAACTTTTAAACTATTATGATGACTTATCTATCAGGGTATTGCCTGTAACTCTTTGTTTCTCATCTTTTTCTCTGCCCACTTATAAACTGATTTCATATTTATTAGAAGTTCACTAAGAAAAAAAAGTCCACTAAGGAGACAAAGAAGAGGAAGTAACTCAGATTCACTGTTCTAGGCTTTGTTTGCTACTGCATGCTGACCCACTATACCAAGGAATACCTTGCCTATGCACATCCTGTTTCCTGTATCAAGTGTGCCTTTTTCTTCCTGCTCTGCTGTAGATCAATGAAGTAACATATGCCAAAAAATGTAATAGGATACCCCGCATATATCAATTCCCCAATAAATAGGAGTTTTCATTTCTTCTTCCCTCTTAAATAGTTATGCACACACCTATACTTGGGTACACAGTATCCAAGTATATCCTCGAACTGAGGATTCGAATGGAAATTTTTGACAATGTACCTAGTTAGTATGTTCCATCAGTTTCTGCAATCATCAATTTTGAGCAACCCAGACTAAGGTCAATGCTGTATAAGATCTCAGCCTTTTTGATGACATTGTGATAAAATTCATTATGTTCAGGTTATCATGAAAGCCACTGGCAAAATGGGGGAATACATCAGATTTCTAAGGCTCTGAACTATGCCAGTTCAGCATACTGTCAAGTTCATTAGTCTTCCCCTCTCTAAGTCATTATACTCATAGATTTGTCTTGAAATTTTGCATATCAATACTATATGTAATGTTGAGTGGATCTCTTCTACTTACGAAATGATAACATAACCTTACATCTATATAGCACTTAATATTTCTACACAGTGTTTTTACAGATGTTATTCCAACTGATCCTTACTATAACGTCTTACAGGTTACTGTAAGACAGAAATTATTATCTCAGATTTTAAGATGAAGAAATGGGCTTGAAGAATTAAAATGATCCATACAAAGGAAACATTAGAAACATTAAGTGAATACTTTCTAATAAGCCACACTAAATGATTATATGGGAGTGAGACAATTTTAGTTTGGGTACGTGCTATAGATATTTCATATTCTCAAGACCTAAAATAAATTGTTTTATTTCCTCTTGAACTATCCAGTGTCTAAAACCAATCTGATTAACACTATGCATTTTGATATTTTATTTTTTTTAATTTGACCTGATACTTGCTTCATGATCCATGTGAGTAATAATATTCTATTTAGGTGTGAACTATCTTTTTAAAGCAAGTTATGAAAGTAAAGTAAGAACAACAAAAAGGTTTTTTAGCACCAGTGAGAGAACTAACTGTAAGTCCAGTCCTCATGTTCAGTAGCAATCTGGGGAAGAAGTAAATCAGAGTTGCAAGGTATAGGAAAAATCTAGAGGGTTGGTGTGCTCACACTATGCTAAAGCAAAACTTGGTCATACCCACTCCTTTGTGAAATATAGTAGGTAATCCTCCCCTTGTGGCATTTGTGATTTAATTAGACTTTTTCACTTTCATAATGAAACCATTGATTCTTTATAGAAAAATGGAAGAGATACCTCTGTTGGATAACCTTACAAGTTTGTCTAGATAGGCACCTCAACCATATTTCCTATCTCTGTTTGGAGGTCACACCTGAAGTGTAACTATTATGCAGTAGTATTTTCCTACAAATTAATTCTTTTAGAAATGGCAACATCTTTCACAACACCCGGTAATGAGTTATTTTTAGGAGAGCATTCCATGAGCAGGAGAATGATAAGGAACTAATATTGAAACTACCCTAATGCCACACCATTTAAGCCTTGTTTTTAGCATTGCTAATTAAACTTCCACCTGAAAGATTTAAGTCTACAATTTAGACTACATGAGCAGTCTAAAATTTTTTAAATGGCCAGTAAGTCCTCCACCAGATAAGTTGCTATAAACATTTTTTTAAAATAAGGACATGTACATAGTTTAGCTATAATAATAATAATTATTATTAATTAAGCTAATTATAATAATAATTAAATAATAACCAAGCTGTGCATTGATACCTAATCCCTTTCCCAAAAGAGGACTTGTTCTTTCAAAAAGAAAATCGCGTAGCAGAAAATATACATATATCCTTTATTATTTACACAAAAGAGATTATTTTTTATGCTTGGCTCTAAGCCTTGCCTTCTTTTATTTAATATATGTCTATATTATATCCAGAAATATATAGAAGTAGCACAAACAGATCTATGTTATCTGCTTTATCCTTTTTAAAACAGGTATATGGTATTTTATTTTATGGCTATACAAACCAAAAATTATTCTTCCATATTTATGGCTATACTTTTCTCTCTCATTTTCAATGCTGCCATGAACTTACTCTTGGCCTATTGTTGTGAATGCACACCTTTTCTTAGTGAAAATGCTGATTTAACCTGGATACTTCCATGTCTAAAACATTCCAGCTTTTCCCTAAATTCATAG